TAAGTAATTTTTTTTTTTTAAATTTGATTTCAAAATATTAAGTAACACTTAGTGAAACATTGAAAATAATTTACGTACAGAACCTTTTATAAGATTAGATTACTCTAAAATCCGCTTTTTAAATTGATATTAATGTTTAAAAAATATAATTATAAAATAAAAAATCCGTCTGGTATCTGACAAAGCCAAAGATTTAACCTGTTAATTTTTTTTGTTTGATAGTTGAATAATAATAAAACTTAGTTTTAATGATATTTTAACGTAGAAGCGGCCATGAATAGTGCTAGTAAGTCGGCCTAAAACTTAGCCAATTAGTTTTAAGAGTCGACTCAAGCAGAACAATAATTTATTAAGACTATTAGATATGGAATACACCAACATAGACTTCCATGGAAGGTGGGGGGGGGGCAAAAAAAGCATTAAAATGACAAATTATCAAACGTATATCGATACATACGTAGTCAGTATCAGCTTGAATTATTTTATAATTTAGTCAACTGGGGGGAGGGGGGGGGGGGTAAGAATCATTGGCTCGAGATAAAATTGAAGCTTTTTGAATTTTTTTGTCCCTAACCTTGGAAAATTTGTTATATATATCACTATCTTCTTTTATTTTATTTTTTAAATTTCAGAAATACATCAATAAATAAACTTGGGGAAATGATATAGGTGTTGCTAAGGATGCTCCATTGTTCAATGTCCCGATTCAAAAAAAAAGATAAATGAAATAATAAGACAAGAGTTTCATCATTCACTTTCAATCCTATTTGGCCAATTGATTTGGCCAAATAAAATAGTGAAATTAATTTTAGAACCTTTATATACTATAATAATACATAATTTAAACTCTATAAAAATAAGAATATTGTTTATTAAAATAAAATTATTTCAAGCCTTTTTTTTTGGTTTGTATAAAATTAAAAAAAAATTTCGATATTAAAATTAATAATTTATGACATTGATTTTGATATTCGTATAATTTCAATTATTTTTTTAAAATAAATATCATTTGGTGTAAAGTTCAACACGGCGGCACCTTTAAGATTTTTTTATAAAGGTTTTTAATCCCAGTCAGAAGTCCATAAATATTTTTTGTAATTATCGTAATTTTGGGTTTAGATAAAACTTACGAAACACCTAATCCATGAAATCTGTATGGTTATTTATATAGTTGAACATTGTATTAAGATTATGTTAAATACAGTAAATTATTTCGATAATATATTTAGTGAACTATATAATTTTTTTTTTAAAAAAAATAAAGCATTTCATTTCCTATTGAAAAATACAATAAGAATAATAAAGAAATGATTTATATAAATTATTCATGAACTTAAATAAAAGTGTATGATGAAAATAATTCTTAATTCCGAAAATAGTTGAAATCAAAAATTGACAATCACAAATTGTTTACAATAATAATAAAAAAATCTTAAAATTGTACTAAAATTATTTATTTATATCATTGGTTTATTCAATGCTGGACGCTTACCATTTTGTTATCCTTTTGGCTATTATCAAGCGATCATCATATATAAGAAAATCTCTATCTTTCCTTCACTTTCTTTCTACTGGCTGGTTATTCTTTGTCGACTGATGAATAAAATTTACCATATTTAAATTCTTGACTTTTAAAGAAATAAGTAGAATAGGTCCCATCCTCTCCATTTCAAGTAAAGAGATAGCTATCCAACATAAAACAATACATTATTAGTTAAGCTTGTCAAAAAAATGGCGTTTTGATCTACCCTAGAATCCTTAGAGCTAAACTTAGCCTATACCATTCAAGGAAGGCAAAGAATTAGTTTGGTATTTTTAAAGTCTACAATTGCCTTCTAAACTTCATTGTGCAAACAGAGATATGGAAGTTGAATAAATACTCTTTTTAAAGCAATTTACTTTTTATTCCTTTCGTCACGGTCACTTTAGCGTAACTTTAATCCTGCAGCTAAATAGTTTTAAAAAATATGAGGTCATCAAATCAGGTCCAATTTTTAAATTTAAGTCAATATTTAGAGTTTTACTTCATCTTCAAACCAGACATCGGTGGAAATAAAGTTTAGTAAGTAATAAGCAAAATAAGAGAAGCGTAAAATTTTGAAGGATCAATTACCGATCAGACGACAGAAGTTAGTGAGTTATAGGCAAATTAAGAGAAGTGTTATAGCACTTTGCAAAACCGAAAATATGAAAGATCATATTCTGAAACTTGTTCACTAATTAATAATTTGTACTTTAATATTCTCTAAACCGAATATCCGTATCACTAATAGCCGTCATCGAGTTATACGGAATTACGAAGAAAGTGAGGATCCAATTCTGAAACCTATGTCATTGTGTAGACCGTTAAGCGATCCTCCAAAATTTAAACCGTATACCGGCTGAATTAGCCGCTCGTAGGTTATAGGCAAAATAGAGGTTTTGGCACTTTATTAAAATCTAAAATTAAAACAAACATTTTGTAATTCGGGAAAATATTTAGTGGCTTAATTGATCCTCAATATCTTCCAACAGAATGCCAAAAAAATTAACCACCGTAATATGGTTCCCCGGAAGGTTCTCACTTGTAATAAAGATTCACTAATCGTGTTTATTTTGTATGACAAAAAACGCTAGTTAATAATTATTTTGCATTATATTTATTTATATAGAGCTAAAAACAGCTTTGAACAAAAGAGAAAATATCTCATCGTAAACATTGAAACTAGGCTTTCAAAAATAGGAATCAGGAAATATAGTGATAAAGATTTAAGAGAATACAATTAATAAATGTCTCGTTATGAGAAGAGAAATGAAGCTGAATAAAACCATAAGTGCAATTATATGGTGTTAAGTGATTGGAAAGAGTGTGAGCAGTTTCTTTAATAACATTGAAAAAATTTTTATAACTGAAGATATCTTCGTCTTGGTAGCTTATCCAATAAAAAAAGGGAATTCTCAGCAGGGAAATTTCTTTATAAGGACGGCACCCCATGCTATATATATTATAGGCAAAAAATACTTTCTAGATAATAAAATAAAGGATTGGAAATAGAATGTTTTCATCAAGTCTGACCTTAACCAAATCGAATATATTTGGGGAATTACGAAAGGAATAGTACAAAGGAGATTTAAAGAACAATATCCAAGATAAAATAAAATAGTATCAGTTTTGTGAACATTAAATTCCAATTAGAAATTGGAATCATGGGTTTATATAACGAAATTTCCATCCCTATATGATGAGGCAGTGCCATATAGAAAAAATTATATATGCATATTCCTTTTTGATATTATTATTCTTCCTTCTCTTTACTAAAACAAAAACGCTATTTCTTCTTCCATCGGGGTTAGATATGGAAGAAAAATGGATAAAATATAATTTTTAATGTTTTACTATTAGAATGAATAGTCGAGATACCGTTTTCCTGATCAAATTCCCTCACCAATTACTTATCTCCGGCCGAGGCTTCCAACTTACTACTCATATCATCTCTGGCTCTAGATTGCCCCCTTCCAAGTAGAGAATTACATTAGTTCATATGGGACTTTTTTTATAGTTAAACATGCTCGCCCTATGCCATTAAGTCGCTATTAAATTTTTAAAATTTGTTTAGTTATTTTTCGTTATTAATTATATAAAGATAAGGAAAGGACTATGATAAGATCAAGGTGAACCTGAAACCATGGTATTTTAACTGAACCCAAACCTGGATTTTTAAAAGTATAGGTAAATTTTATTTTTAATTAAAAACTATGTTCTACATTTTAAATGGGATCCGCCAAATAAGCAACTTAAAATATGAATTACGTAAAATTTATGCAATATATCATAGTAAAAAAAGGAGATGTGGGCGGTTTCCCCTAGAAAATTTGCCACTTGATAAGTATCGGTTCAAGTCTAAAAAAAATCCCCCAACACCCAAAAAATTAGTATAATGTCTTTATACAGTAATAGTCAAAAAAATTATGCAGCAGCAGTTCGCTTACATGAAAATCACGCTGGTGTGGTTTAAGTAAATAACGTGCCTTTACAAGGGAAATAAAAATTGAGAAATATACATCTTTATTTTTTTTTTACGTTTAATATATGAATTACTGAGCGGTATAATAAATATTCGCGTGAAGCCTTTCATTTTGATACTCACTCAATTATTAACGTATTCAAGATAAGGATCAGGGACAGAAATGTCCTGCAAAAAAGAGCCGGACAAAAATATCAACGGATAAAAAGATATCAGACAAAAATATCCCAATTTTCAAAAAAAAAAATTAAGGCGGTCCTGGATCGATTTATTTTTTATACCTTAGCCTAAGCTAAATAGTTTTGAACTAGTGTTGGTGGTGTTTTCTCTTACTTTATAGGGTGTTTAATAGAGATATAGCCGGTTAAACATCAAGCCATTTGGAAATAGGTAGGACCAAAATACGGCCTAAAATAGGTAACATATTTAAAATTACCAAAAAGAAATTATATAAACATATTTTTAAAATTTAAGGTATTTTTTTGTAAGTACTGCCTTTTTGTCCTGGGAACCTCTGTCTGGGTATCTTTCTCCACTGTCCGTGATCCATGACATGAGTATGACAACGAATTAATTTTTTAAATTTTATTGCCCAAAAATATTCAATACTCTTTTATATTGTGTAAACTTTTTTTATTAAAAAAAATAAATCTTATAAGAATTTGTTTTTTTTTTGCATTCAAGATATAAAAAATAATAATAACCACTGTTTATAATAAAATTAACTTCCCCCCTCTTTTCCTTCCATACAAATTTGAAGTTAAATAAACATATTTAAAATGAGAGGAACGTAATATATATAACAGGGTAAAAAACCGCCAGAAGGCAAGCCTAAATTCATATTATTTTCAGGAACCATTTCGGATCAGATATATTTTACATCTAAAACAGCCTTTTCCCAAAATGTTAACAACTTTAAACATCAAACGAGCTAGTTTTTCTTTTCCTTAAAATATCTTTATTTAATTCTTAAAAAGGAGCATTTGTTTTAAGAATAGTTTTTTTTTTAAAAAAAAGAAAGAAATGATGACATTATAAATATAGTATACCGATAAAGGTAATCATTATATTATATCAAACATTTATTAGAATATATTATTTTTCAAGGGGTAAAAAAAAACTATCCAAAAAGAAAATAAATTTGTATAAATTAAAATATTTTAAAAAAAAAAATATGCGAGTTCGTACTTTAAACCCGAAATAATATGTACAATTATCGCATAGTGATAAAACGAATGCGAAGCCGGGCTATAGATAGATTAAAAAAAGAGATTTTCTTGATATATATATTATATAATATATTTGCAATAAGTAAGTTTATAAATATCTTCAAAAAAAAATTTCTTTGGTTTTATTTATTATAATATTGATTGCGACGTCGGGGTTTAGGTGGTGGTAATTTATGATATCATTTTTTTTTTCAAATGGTGCACGAATCATTTAGATAATTTGCTAATCACTCTGATAAGAGCGCCGTTTTCGTGTTTAAGTCTTTGATTTACTTCTTTCAACGATTCCATTTTCTATAATAATAAAAAAATTTATGATTTTTGTAAATATATTACGCGATTTACCTTGAGTTCTTCTTCCAGTTCGCTAATCTTGATTTCCAAATTTCGTTTTTCCTGGTTAAAAATCATTTGTCAAGGATGAAATAAATATACATATTTTAAAAAAAAATGGTCAGAGATCTGGATGATCTTAGAATTCCGGGTTAAGCTTAAAACTAAACCCAGATAAGAAGGGACACACGAGCCAGACCTTTTTATTAAAAAAAATTTAATGATATTGCTAGTTAGAAAATCTGATGAAATCATATTACTTCGACAATTATTGTTGACTTCTCGTATTCTCAAAATATTTACAAAATACTAGGGCTGGGCCGTATATTATAGCCCTGCAATCGATTAAGTAAAAAAAAAAAATAACGAAAGATATTTTCTCAAATTTTGCCCAAATGAAATAATTTATTTATCTTCGTAAAAGAAATGCGCTTTAAAATTGATATATTTCATTTTAAAAATTTCAGGGCCGAGCTCGGGTCTAAAAATTTTTTTAAAAATATTTCGAGATTGAATTTCAGGGCTCTTGAATGGATCAAACTCTAAACAGGGTCTAAAAATACTCCTGGCCAATTAGACCTCTACGAGGTTAATTTATATAGTAACGTTCGATACTTGAAGATTCAAAATATATTGTTCATATCCAAAAAAAAAGACTTATGTTATACTAACTTTTCGCGAGAGGGTAGACTGAGAAGAATTGTCACTGTTATAATCACTCGATGGTTTGATTTCAGCCAAAATTTTACGATCACCCTTCATGATTTATAATATTATAAAGATAGTAAAAATCATAAAATTAAAATGTTAGAATATTGAAATGTTGATTCTTTCCATTTCTTTCTTTTTTCAATAATTTGCGGTGTTAAATTTTTTTTTTTAAAAAAAGAAGAGAAATAAGGTAAAACGTTCTTGATGGCAAATCCAAAAGAAAATCTATATCTTGGGCAGGACAGGCCAATTTATAACCGCTTAACAAATATATATTTTTTTTCCCCGATTATATCTTTAATAGTCTTGTAATATCATTGTCGTAAGAATCGGATGAATCTTTGACATTTAAAACATTTATGGCGCCTTTTTTAAATTAATTTTGCTAGAACTCTATTCATCCATATGTATAATATAACTTACCTTATAAATTTCGGACAATTTTGTCATAAAATTTTGCCTTAAATTTAATTAAAGATAAAAAAATATATATGGAAAAATCGAGTCAAATTAAAATTGATTCAAAATAAATGCATAGTGGAATACAATTCGGCCAAGATTAAATCTTTTTTAAAAAAAATGAGCGCCATAAATGATTTAAATTTTAAAATTTCCTCCATATCCTAGAGCAATATTGAATTGCACTAAATTCCTCAAGTACTCGCCTACAATAGTTTTTAGTTGCCCGGTCCGTCCCGAAATTTTTTTTTACTACTTAAAAAATTTAAGAAAGGTCAGGCCCGGCCTTATGAAAAGTCTGCCCAGACCCGATATTTATACGAATCTTCTGGCTACATCTAATTTTTTTTCCCAATGCCAATTAAGGCTCTTATATCTCTCCTCTATGGGTATCTTTTCTACAATAAACGTTTTATAAATCAATTTTGATATCTGCATTGTGCATTTGGAATTGGATCATATCATAAATGACTTGCTTAATTTTTTGTGAATTTATTATCATCATTTATAAATAGGGCTGGCTATCTATTTCTATAACAACCGTTTTATAAATCAATGGTGCTTGATATCTGAATTGTACATTTGCATTTGGATTATATTATATATAAAACTGATTTTTGTGATACCATTATTTTATTTTACGATTCTAATGTTCGGAATGTACTTTTACATATACGCAATTTATTTAAAAAATTTTACGCCACTTTTTAAGAGTTTGTCTTGAACCTTAAGCCCTCTCACTGTTTACGTGAGACAAAGAAAGATTTGGTCTGTTGCAAATATTTGACTTTGTCTATTTTATAAATATTATTATCAAGTCCTCTTCTGTTTTTTGTGTTATTCCTAAATTTTCTCGAATAAACAAGCAAATTAATAATAAATCGGATCCTAAAATTGTTTTTTTGCCGAGGGTTCGAAACCGGATGTTAAATTTTTTAAATTCCAATAAAAACTTAAATATAAATTAAATATAATTGATTGACAGTATTCTTCATTCCATTCATCTAAAGATGAATTTTTTGTGCTGTAACCAGTCTCGTTAAGCACTCTTTTTAAAAGGAGCGCGCTACCGCTACCGATATCTACCAAAAAAAAGGTAGCACGCCACCGCTACTTAAACCGGTGAAAACCAAGCGCGCTATTAGCTACCGCCACTTTTTAAAATTTATTAATAAATCTTTTTTATTTTTTGGTTATACTATATTTTATTTTGTGTACATAAAAAAATCAACATTTATATTATAAATATTTAGAAGTTTATTATTTATTATCATCCCCAAGTCTAGATCGCTGATCAATAAGTATAAGTTTAGTCTTATTAAATAATCGCTCAACATTAGTACTAATGGGGTATTTTATTTTATCAATATGAAAAATTATCAAAAATACTTATTTGCAAATTTTGAATTAAAAAATGAATTTAATGGGTGTTGGCTCGTATTATTAAAAGATATAATTTTTTTTATAATCTAAAGATATGAATTTATAACCGATTTTTCATACATTTTAAAATACTTTTGAAATTTCGGAAATGGAAACTTCTTAAAGTTTTCAAAATTTCCATTTTCTTCTTGTGTAACTTCCACTTCATTTATATTCTCATCTGAATCTATCTCACATGAAACTTATTACCTCGATATCCATTTACTTCGAAAATTATTTGGGTTAACATATTAAGAAAATATAAATTTTAATTTCTAAATTTAATAAAATTTAAAATTAAATTATAATTTTAGTGTTTAAAGTTATATTTTTAAAAAGTAACTAAGTAGCGCGCTACTTTAACAACTCTGTCTGTAACCATTTTGTTAATTTCACAGATTAGGGTACATCGAAAACATTTAAAAACTTTAAAGAAACCTAATGATAAAGTTCTGAAAATTTTCATAAAAATGTTTCATATTGTTTTTATTTTTCTACTTGAAAAAGGAACTTAAAGCGTATATATGATAATCAAATGGCGTAATCAATGTCTTAGGTGTCGTTTATAGTAAGTACAAAATCCGCGATGTAGCTCGAACTAGCTATTCGTAATTAATCGCTAGAAGTATAATTATTACGCGTCACTTGAAGCCATTATGGTATTTAGTGTTTATCATAAACGAGACCTTAGTCACGTCGTGTTATATCTTATAAAAAAAGTATTCAACGCATGCAGGAATACATCTCTGGATGAATTATATTAGTAAAAATTTTTTAAAAAGTCTGCTAAATAAATCATTTAAAGTCGGTAAATAGTACAATCATTTTGCTTAACTCGTTTTAATCTAATTTAGCCAATAATGTATTCCTATGTGCAAAATACCGATGCTATAAATTTCGAATAATCTGATCATGAACTTTTGAACCATTTTACCGGTCAAGAACCAGTCGAATTCAAAGAGGGAAAATCCCGGATCATGGCTGATACCGGATGAGGCACATCTCGAATAAAAATAATGTATATTATAAAAATAATGAAGAGACCTTGGAGGTTTGCAGCTCTTTTTCTAAATCCTTTATTTTCGATTTAAGTTTAACGTTTTCTAGCCTCGTTTCATCGTATAACTAAATTTAAAAAATATAATAATATTTATGTTATAATAATAGGGAGTATTTATAATAATAAATAGGCATAAAAGATTAGGCTTTTGTTGCTTATTACATTTTCTATATGTTACTAGGCAAAATTTCTTATACTTAATTTACTATTTTGTATTAGTGTTTGAATCGGCCTAATCAATACTATAGGTGCTTTATATTTTTATGAGTAATTCAAAAATTATCTAAACATTATATATATATATAGAAAATTTAAAGTATGCGCGGAATGCATTGTTAGCAAATAATTACACATCTTAATGTGTATATAAATTATATTATATATATATAAGTTATTTGAAATATTTGATAAAATTTTTGTAAAAATAATAAAAATAAGTATTTTAAAATAATTTCAAAAATAGTAATTTTTGTTAAAATAATATCAAAATTTGTACATCATAGCAATTGTAAATAATAATAGCAAAATAAACTGGGTTATTAAAAAATAGAACCTTTTTGTAATCAATGGTCGCAGTATTATCGTTAATATTTGAAGCGGTAGATGTTTTGGCCGTGGTCGAAGAAACTACGCGATTACGCGAATGATAATTGGCGGAATGAGATTCTTCATAATTTGCTGGATTTGTCTTGATGATCATTTTTAAAAACATGAATTTTATTAATGTCACATTTAGAAATTTAACAACCCAAGTTCTTTTGATAAAATATAAAAATTTGTTTTTTTATAAAATATTATAAAATGATTTTTTTTTAAAAAAAAAAAATAACCAACAAAACAATCCTTTTTTAAATATTAAAATCATTTTCGGGGTTTTTGGTATCGGTAAAAAAAAATATAAATAATTTATTCAATTTTTTTTAAAGCTTTATTTCTTTTTGTAACAATTTAAAAAAAAATTAGTTAGTTATTTTAAATACTTATTTTACAAAAACGCGTAATTTTTTCATTGATGAGAAGAAAAAAAAATTTGATATCTGCGCCTTGGGGAAGGGAGGGGAAATTACTATCATTATGTTACGATGATTCAGATTGGTGGATAATTGAGAGATAGAGTTTTTTTAAAAAAAATATAATAAAATATGCCACGCTAATTTTTCACATGATGACGCTACAAAAAAAAATAAATAAACATTCATTCAAGCATAAGATATAACGCATCTCTATTTTAAAGAAAATGTATAAATAAATAAATATATTTTAAGTATTTAAAGAGTGCGGTGGTGTTGGGAAATCAATATTAAAAAAAAATTGCTACAGTGATTGTTCCATCGACCCCTTATTTTTCTAAGATAACCTCTTTTTTTATCAAACTTCAATAATTTTGAGCAAGTGGTAGTCAGTCATCGGAAAACCTTGGAGTACTTGGTTGATAACATTGCCCAATTATATAAAAACTTATCAAAAAATTAGGCCATACTTTAAAAAATGGAAGTGTTAATTTATAACAAAGGTTATAACGGACCTCCCCCTCCCGGTAACCCCTCAGGAGTGGGAGAATCCAATTTTGCATAAAAATGTAATAACTGTAGTATTTTTATATTTAACAGATAACTAGTTACCCACGACTAGCTAATTTTTAGGCAAAATTTAGCGCGGGCTAATTATATATACCTAGTGTTATTAAACAGCTAAAAAAAAAGGCACACGCCTAGAGATTTCCGTAAAAGATGTCTAAGCAGTTCCACTTTCTACGAGCAAAATATCCAGGCTTAACTAATATTCCTGGCTAAAATATTAGGTTAGCCGGGTTTAAGAATGGAACAGCTTAACCACTATATACATCAGTTTTAAATGAATCTTATCTAAAATATAATTGTAATTTCTTCTTGCTAATTTTTCACTTTAACTCAAATACACTCCTAAACCAATAGTGTAGCTAGTAACGAAAATTAAAAAAAAACAATTATAAATTTTTTTTTTAAAATTAATTTAACATTTGAGCCGAGTGTATCAAAAATCTAACAAAGACTATTTATTATTCACTTTTCACTTTGTAATTTTATTTTTGAATAGTGATTCAAATTAGAATAAATCTATATATTTTTAAAAAAAAATATTTGTGATAAAATCCGAATCGTCCTTTTTAAATTAATAATTTAATTGTCAGTAGAAATTGGAGACAACTTGTCGCAAACGATCAAATTGATATTTTATTTTTTTTTAAAAAAAAAAAAGAATTCCTTCAAGTATTTTAACCCCAAAATTAAATATTATTGGGCGATTATAATCAAAGATATGCCTATATATTTTTTTGTATATTTAGATAAATACGGACAATTTTTTTAAAATTATTGTCATTTTGTTGAGTGCAACACCCCCACCAACCCCCCGTAGTCACAGCCCTCCTGTTTAATTTAAATATTATGTAATTAAAATAAACTATAATAAGAACAATTAAAATAAACGACAATTATTTTTTTTATGAAAATTTTAACGCAAGTATGCTAAAAAAAAATATGTAGCATTATTTATATTTTTGAAATCTATGTTGAAATGATAAATATTTAATAAATTGCTAAGAGTCAAAAATTTTAAAGTTCAAAATTTAATGTTTTTTTTATTTCAAAAAGAAAAATGTAAAGAGTAATTAGTCATGTAGCAATAAATTAAAAGCAGTCTGTGGAACATATATATTGTAACAAATATGATCAAATATCAAATCAACCAGTTATAGTTATTTAAAACCTAGGAAAATATATTACGAACAAAGCCATTCGGGCGATATTTTTACGAAAGAAAATCAAATAATAAGAAGTTAAATTTACAATGATGGCGGGATGAGGGTGAAATGAATTACATAGCTATATAATTATAAATTTCACCTATTATTTGTTAGCTTTTGAAAAATACTTTAGTAATTGGGTCTTTTTTAAACTAACATGCTCCATGCATCATAGAATTTGGGTATTGATATTTATACATAACGGCGTTCAGTATTATATAACTTACTAAAAAAGTTTAAATTTAACCCTAAACCATCTTATGAGTGCCCCTAACCATACCCTCTTTCATAAGTTAGACGCTAGTGAAGGTTGCTTTTCGTATGAGGAAAAAAAAATTGTCTCAAGCAAGGGATCGAATCTAGATCGAAATAACTTGCAGTGACGGACAGTTTTATAACCTTCCTAGCCACATTAGCCATTCAAATAAAGATTATACGATGATAACTCACGATGTTATCATTTACCATTATAATTTTAATTATATGTTATATATAAAGTCCTAGACATTATAACATGTTTTTTTATGAAAATTATTTGCCGCTTGTGGTTAAAAAAAAATTCTTATTTTAAAAATAGGTAGGTAAGGCTCGTAGTTTTACAAGCCTGATCTGAGGCGATTATTTCAATCCTCGTTCGATTCCAAGTTTGAGGGATGAATTTCAGATCGAATATTGCTCTGACGGAAAAATAAATTGATAATAGACAGAGCCAAGTCGCCAGAGTCCAACACAATTTCTATAGAGCAGGGCAGAATGGGATTAAAAATAGCGGGTTCTGGCTAGGTCCCTAATATTTTTTAAATAAATTCGGGCGGGCTTGAAAAATTAGACCCGATGGAAGATCACTTGTTAAAAATATATAACAAATTTCAGATATGGGCAGATAAAAAAAAATTAAATTCGCAAGATAATACTTCCCTCATCTTCATCTAAGCAGAATAATTATAAAAGTTTATTATACAGAATTTATTAGAAAAATGTACCAAGCATGGAAACCTAAACACCAAACTTTCTAGAAAATAATTGTTTACAAAAAAAAAATCCTTACCGTTTTGGACTCCTTCGAATGTTTTAGAGAACTTTTCTTCGAAATTGAAGACACGGACGAGATCGAACTGGCTGGCGAGGATAATAATTCCTTAGAACTTTTATATGACAAGCTTAAGAGAGGAGTCGAGTAATCGTTAGAGGATGTGGATATTTTATGCATGCAAAAAATAAGATATGATGCAGGTTTCAAAAAAAAAAGAAAAAAAATGAAAGATGTTTCTATTACACAAAGTCAAAAATTCTTATAATTAAAGAATATTTTTGAAAAAGCTATAAAAAAAAATTAAGGTATTTTGCAATTTTGCATCTTTAATAATCATTATTTTATTTTTATTTTTTTTTTATAAAAAAAAACGACAAAATAAAAAAATTATCAATTTTTACGGATGATATTTTAAAAATGCCAATAAATAATTTTTAAAAATATTTATATTATTTTTTAAAAAAACATATGCAATTTAAAGTTTTTTTTTAAAAAAAAAATGGCAAAAATTTTTGATATCGGTTTTGTATAATTAATTAAAATTACAATTTAAACTTGATTGATTTAAAAGTTTTTATTTATAAAACAAAAATAAATAGGAAAAAAAAACAAATACAAGCTTATAAGTTTAAAAAGTTATATATCATGTCAACCGTCTGGCAATAGCATCGACCTAGAATTTTAAAACTTTTGAAACATAAATAAAAATAATAGCCAAAACTTAAATAGCATGCCTATTTCAAAAAACGAATATATGACTTTTTGTATTTGATTCCTTAGAATGATTAGGATAATTTTACTCGTGTTCGTACGTACCACTCATTCGTAGTGCGAATTGTGGATCTTTTTTCCTTCTTCCTTCCTTTTCCTTCTTTCTTACTTCCTTCCTTTTTCGTTACAAACGAATAATTCGATTCGATTTAAGAATAGATCAAAAGAAATTCAAAATCTCCTAATTTTTCTCCCACAAAAATTTTAGAAAATATTTTTACGATATCTAAATCAAGATCAAGGTCGATGTCTTAGCCGTTTCATGTTGAGTAAATTTTGATTTATTTTAATCTGTAATGCTTACCATATTTCATTTTTTATAAGTAAAAAAAAAGTTGGATTAATTTTTATAAAAATTATTATTAATTGACGAAAAAAAAATTTGACAAGTTTGTGCCAAGTTATCTGTTTTATATAATTAAAAAAAAGAAGATGTTTCATAAATAAATCATATAATATAATTTTTAAATAAGAATGTTAATAAATCCATAAAAAAAAGGTAAAAGTTCATTTTTTTTAAAAAAAAATTAAACTAGTTCAAATACGTTTACCATCTAAAAAAGAAATTAGTTTCTTCATAATTCCTAGATTTTTAGAGATATTTAAATTAGTTCTATTTTATAGGTTAAAAAAAAATTTTCAATATTTTACAAAATTATTAAGTGAATTTACTCGATAGGACAAATACACCGGTCAAATATCCAATTTAGAAAAAAATTTATAAAAAGGGACATTTATGTCAGGGATTCAAATCCCTAACTTGATTCACATAACAAACATTCTTGAACAATCCAAGTTGTCATCAGAAGATAGTCTGAGATCTGATTGACTCAGGGGCGTAGTCAAAAGGGGGGGGGGGAGATTTGCCTGTTATATTAAATATCTTTTTAAGCTAATAAAAATTTCCCTCCTACACACCCCCCCCCCCAACTAAAAATTCATAATACATAAAATATATCACAAAGAATTAAAAAATGAAAACAAAATTATTTGTATAAAAATCTAATATAGCAAAAGACCCATAATAAGTGGACCTAAAGTAGTGGTGCAAAAGCGCTTCATTTTGAGCCGATGTTTAAAAACGGCTAACTCAATATTTCAGAAACATATGGACTAAGCCTCAAAATCTTGCTAATAGATATTCCATCTATAAATCTTCAGGCTTGCGTAATAATTTTCTGGATAAAATACTGAGTTAGTCGTTTTTAAAAATTGGCTCTTAAATGGAGCCATTTTGCATCGCTAACCTAAAGATCTCCTATAAAATTTATGAGGAAATCCCCTACATAATAGCCCCCCCCCCCATTACAAAAATCCTTAATATGTTTAAGAATTGACTAAAACTCTCATGCTTTCAGATAAATCCCTTAGTTTTGTTATATTAGGATGATAAAAATTCATTATATTTTAAAGGATTATAATTAATTTATATATATATATTTACGAACCTGTTGTTAGCGATGTATTTTTGTTTATTTTTGTGGAAAGAAAGATACAGTGGCAACAAAGGAAAAAGATGTTTATTTTTGTTTTAAAAAAGAGAAATTTATGTATATACTATCACTTATTATTTTTATGGAAATTTATGAAAAAAGAAATATTTGAGAAAAAAAGATTCATTAATTAATAATTAAAGAAGAAAGATCTATAATTAATTTAAAAAGTGAAGAGGTAAAAGATCTATAATTAATACTTAAAAAGGGAAAAAATTATATATAGATTTTTGGTATTTCGTTATTTCTTTCTAATAGAATTTTTGTATTTCGTTACTTTCATTTTAAGATTGGAATAGTGATGGGAAAATCGACGCTTGGCTTAACCCATGAAATTAAGCCAAATATTTCACTTTTGACATCGAGATTAAAGCTAATTTGTATGGCTTAGAATTATAAAGTTTAAGCCTATTTTTTATGACTTAACCTTATTTTATTTATAAATAGAGGGTTTCATTGGATTAAATTTTTTTACAACAATGAAGCATAGGAATTTATTCATCGGTCAAAATGTAAATTAGAGACTAAAATAAAATGATTCTATTTTTGAGGAACTTCGGCAAAAACCATTTTTATCTTTATCAATCCTGGTTTTTCTTATCGAAGTCTATACATCCATTACGGCCGCATTATATTTAGATAGAATTAGACATCCGATTCATATAATTAATGAACCCCCCCCCTCCTTTAAAAATCCTGCTTGCATTGGAAAACGATTGCATATACACACTCCAAGCAAGAAAAATTCTCATCATAAACGGTGGTGGAATGGTATGTCGCAATAGAGTCATCTAAATTTCCGGCGGTGAAATAAATAGGGGGGGGGGTGCCCTTTTAGTCAATATATGGGCAGCCTTATATTTTGGTCATGGGGGAGGGGCTCCTTGGAAATTTTGTTTCAATGATGATAAATATAATGAAGTGGGTTGAGTTAGATGATATAAAAAAAATACTTTCAAAATATATTAATAAAAGCTCTAAATTAAATACTATTACATAATCAAACTTAACCACCATCAGATTTAAAATCTTAACCAAGAAAATTGAAGATCTGCCCAACTCTGGCTAATACCCTTAATAACAATTTGCTGAGCACCACGATTTAAGCTTTATAGTATTGCTAAATCATTAAACTTTAACCAGTTCCAATGTGGCAGTCAAACTTGTTAGCTTTGCAAAATGACTCAAATCTCCAAGTTGAGCCTCATTCAAAGACCGAGACAATATTTTTAGGATAGGATTGGCTAAAGATAGGTGATTTAACAAGGCCTTAAGTTAGGAACCTTTGTGTGCCAAATTTTATCTACCCATAAAAAGTAATAGTTGCAGAACTAGACTTACTTAAATCTGTCATCGAATTAATCAGGACAATTCACTAAAATAATAACTAGCAATAATGTCAGGATAAAGGTCTCAACCCCCTCTCTGCCACTAAAGTTCCAGGAAGCAATCATAAATTAGAACACCTGTAAGTACAAAGACCTAACTCATTATCTTCAATTCATTATGCTTATGGAAGGGAATGCAATTGAATTATTTCCCAAAGTAACTTAGTGTAAATAAATAGAAACAATCACGCGAATTTTGGGTAGGAGGTTCGTCTTTCGGACAAATTTCGAGGTTTAGGTAATATTTTTAGCCAAAAATCTGGATTAAGCGTTTTTAATCGGCTAAATTGAGGTGTAAAATGGAATACCTTAAGTAATCTTAATCGTAATGAAAAGTTGATCATTATTCCACAATATATTAATATAATTATTTATTGTTTATAGCTATGTGTAAATTATCATATTTTATAATTGCGTATATAAAATGATAAAAAAATAAATTTTGTTTCAATTTTTTATAGAAAAAACTAAATAAAATAATCGGCTCGTATCAGGGCTCGATTAGGTATTATATTTTTCATCTTATTTTCGTATACTGCGCTAACTGTGAATACAGGGTTATAAATTTCGAATGTGGTGCCGGATTTAGCAATGGATAACTATTTGTTTTTTTTTGTTTTAAATTTAAGAATTGTTTTTTTCTTTTTCTAATATTCATTTTATTTATATTTCTTAAAAATTCATAATTTGATTTTAGGAATAAATAAAAGATTTTATTATCAAGAAAAAATAATTACAATTGTATAAAAAAAATTAACATCATTACCCTCTCCGAGGAAGTTTGGCACCGTTTTAATAAAAACGAAATTTGGCAAATGATAAAACAAAAATATGGTATATATTTTTTTGTAATATAAGACCAAAGAAGGTAAGGCCTTGTTTATAGTAAGCTCGAAATATCGCGATTTCGCTCGCGAAGCGTAATTCACAGAATGCAGAATGTTAAATTGTATAGCTAGGTTATCGTTTAGCGATGAATAATATTCTGTTATTACTATAAACGAGGCCTAAGATAAGTAATTTATTAGGATTAAAAAAAATTAAACATTCAAAGCATCATCAGATTTTTATTTACTAACATCCGAATTTGAATACATTTACAAAACGGTCTTATTTTCAGAAAATATAAAAAATGGTGGTATTAGAATGGGGGAAAAAAATGTATTATTTTACATTAAAAGAATATTGAATGAATGAATGAATGCCATTCAAAGGAAAACAAATGACCTTCTAAAACAATTTACAATTAAAACCAATAAATAAATAAAAAATGAAATTATTGGACCAAACTCGAATGAATTTATTTTTTTCTTCAAATTATTATTCAATAAAATAAAAAAACGTAATACATATCAAGGTCATTATCAAAGAAACTATTATAGATCAAATCATAACGAAGAATGGTTTACATTTTATAATTATATAAACCAGCCAAACCTTTAAAAATGGACATTCCCTCCCTGCCAAAATTCTAACAGAAATTTTTATCAAAAATTTTTTATGTACCTCGTGGAGGTTTGACTCTGTTTAAAAAATATTATTTAGTTTTTTTAGTTTACCTCTTCTTTAGAATAATCCTCATGCACTTTGGTGTCCCTAGAATTATCTCCGGGCAGTTGATCGGATTGTTTTTCGACGTTCTAGATAATATAAATATTAGAAAGACTGATATTTTACTTAGAGTATAATCTATACAACTTTTAAAAACATTTTTCGCTAAATTTAAGAAACAATGAAAATATATTAATCGGTTTAGGATTTTTCAATAGATTAAAGATATATAGCCGCTATAAATTATATAATACATATTAAAAAAAAATTTAATATAATATTATGTCCTAACGTCCGGTCCAGATCGGGTCGGATGAAAACCGGTATTTGGACCGGTTCGATTGTTGAAGTTCGTTATGTAAGGGATAAACTTAGAGCCGGTCCAAAACTTACGAACCCCGGATCGATTTTCAAAAAACGATATTCGATTCGAATATAAATTGTTCGTATTCGGACAAATAATACTATTCTTTTCGATTTTTACAATTATGAATAGTAAATTACTCGGCCCGTTTTAAGGAATGGAATAAGAATATTTCATTATTTGATTCGGAAATAAGTCTTTAACAATATTAAGTGCATAATTGTTGTTTTTTTATCCAAATCCTAACTAGAAAGATGTATCATTTAATTGAGTTATTATAAATAAACTTTATCGAAAAAAAACTAAGGAAAGGAGATATTAAAAAAATGAACTTGTCGAGGCATAATGTGAATTTTTTTTGCCACTTTACAGGGCTAGGGAATAAAAATATACTTATGAATGCTTTTTTATAAGATTTAGTTCCTGTTATGTAATCACTTTAGGTTTCATTGTGAAACTAGTAGAGGTCCGCGAATGGCAAACTTTTCAGGCTTGGCTTGGTTGGGATATTGTTCCGTCAAAATTAGCACCCGGTCCGGCCCGATTCTTAATAAGGTTGCCCGACACGGCCCGTTGGGCGGTATAATGGGAATTGCAGATCTCTACTAACAAATGAGATCACTATTATTATTTTTTAAACTTACAAAGCTACATATGCCGGTACTCCTTCTCTTTTCCCTAAGGTGACGTTTGCTTTCAAGGGTAGGAGGAATACTATTGGAGGTTGCATTGGTGGGGAAGACTTGAGGAGGCTTACCAGATAATTCCATTTTGTTAGCCGTTGTTCCAGCTTTGCGTTCCTCGAGAGCCTTCTGCCTTTGCTCCTCCAAAATTTTTCGTCTTTCCTCGTAATCTAGAAAACAAAATATTCAGTAGGAGAATCTTTAAGTAGGAATCGGAGAGAAATTAGTGCAACTATTTTTATTGGGTCAAAATTTGGCAAATTTATGTGATTTTTCTTCGTAAAAAATTATTACGGGCCTGTTCGGAAGGACACCTGGCACAAAAATAGTTTCAAGAATCTTAACGGGCCGGTTCGGTCCGATGTTGGCGGTATAAATCAGAGATGCAACCGATGACCATGATATCGGTCAGAATGGGCCGATACTTTTAATTATTTTAATTTCAATTAATTTAAGGTATGTTTGGTGTTAGTTGAAAAGTCATCTCGATTTATATAGAAGTGGGACAGTTTAAGAAAAGAAAAATATTTAAATCTTGTTGGTTAGTAAATGTCATCATAAAAAAATAATTAAGAAATGAACACAAGTGTAGAAATGGAAATTAAAAGGAACTGCCAAAAAAGTGATAATTAATCCAGTAAGGTTTTTTCCCAATCAATATCTGTGATCTGGTATAAAATATTTTTTCTTTTAAAACAGAAGAGGGAGGGGAGATTTTATAATTTTAAACTTTTACTTTATTTTTTTTTAAAAAATTCTTAAATAAATTACTTACAAAATAAGACGATAGCAATTATATTCATCCGAAAAATCAATATTGGCAAAAATTCAAAAATAGACTCTAAAGTAGAAACAAATAAGATTGCCAAAAGAAGCGTTAATAGAGGTATTTATCTGCATAGGAACTAATTTTCAAGCCCGGCCCAAAGCAGATCTCTAAGAAGTATTATAATCTAAAGCTTATAAACCCTTAGGAAGATATATTTTTAAATTAGACGAGAGGTTTAACAAAAACAATAAATAAATTTAAGCTAATATTGGGTTAGATGCATGAGTTCTTCTAGATTTTAATCTGTTTGAAAAAGCTGGTGAGAGGGCATAAAGAATACACACTAAGGTTGTGTATAAATAATGTTTCTTTAAGTATATATTATTTAATTTACGTGTTATAGAGGATTAGAATTATTGCCCAACTGCTTCAAGTTATAAATATCCTTAACTAATTGAAGTTAATATTTTTTTAAAAAACTAAGTAATTGAAAATATGTCTAAAAAATAATAATAAAATTTTTATAAGGATGTTCTAAATTTTAAGCGAAATAAATTATTTTTAAAAAAATTTCTAACAATTTACATTGATAGACTAGATTAGATGGGATCCTACATTCTGCGTGATAGAAGGACTTTTTGGAGCAAGAAAAAAAAAGATTACAAAGATTTTACTATATATATTATTTATTAATATACATATACATTCATAAATAAAAACTGAATAAAAGGTTAATTAAAATTGTATGGTAGCGTATTTTAATGTTATAGTTATGGTATAAATCATAGCTGGTGGTATGCTATAAAAAAAAATAGATGGATACATTGAAAAATTAAATTATATATGAACGAACAAAATTAGATTGGTTATATCGGATCTATAATCGGCCGATATCAATTCAATATCGGATCGGGTAAGCTTCCAAAAAGTTATCGATACACCTCTAGTTCACTTATGACCACAAAAATTTGTGATTCTTTAAATAGCTAGCTATGGGCATAAAAATTGGATTGATTATTTTTTAAACGAGATATTAGCCATAACTTTATCACATTATAAATTTACCTTTAACGGGCCTTCTGTTCGTAGAACTATTGGATCCACCATTACTTTGACTACTGCTCGTATTGGTGTCGTTGCTAATATTGCTTTCATTGTTTTTGAGTAAGGGAAATACTCTGGCAGTTTTTTCTTCCATTTTTTGAGCGATGTTTAATATCGAGGAGGAGGAAGAAGTCGGAAGTTTTTGTGAAGGCTTGGAAAAAAAAATAATTGTCAATAATGAAGGATTAGTTTAGCATTCGACATTTTACCCCATACCCGAGGTAAAATGATTAAAACAAATATCAATAATTGAACCTGTAAGGCAAGCACAACAATCCCGTTTAATAAATTAATAATGGAGTTAGAAAAATGTGGTGTTATCATCTATTAATAACATTTGCACGTTCATTTATAATACATTTTTAAATATTCTCGAGATTAAAAATAAAAGCAAGTTGTAAATATAAAATTTATAAAAAGGAAACATATTTGGCACGTAAAGATATTCTAAAATTTTATAATTTTCTTTATTATTTATAGAATTTTACCTTGCAGTTTATGTTTTTAAAAAATGAAAAATCAAAGGAATAATATAATGGACTTTGACTCTTAAATAAAATTGTCAGAAACCCGTAGGCGTTTTAATTTTTTTTTAAACATACGCGGGCCGGGACTAGAATTTTTTTTTAAATACCAGGGCCGGACCTGGCCAAATATTTTAAAAAACCATTACTATCTATAAAAATTTAAAATTAATAAAAAGAATTTTTTTTTAAATTCCGACTGAGCCTTGTAAATGCTACCTCTGTTTTTAATTAGATATATGTACATAAGTCATTTTAAAAAGGAACATATTTAGCAGAAAACAGATAGTTTATTGAATAGTTTTGTTAAGTTACGCCCTAACATGAATTCAAATTAAAGTGGTTAAACTTACTTCGTCTTTGGTTATTTTCGAGGTTGTAATTTGTTTTTCGTTACCGGGAGAATTCGATCTTATATCGATTTCTTCTAACTGCTTTTCGGCTGCTTTAATATCTTCGGCACTGACACCCTATAATTAAAATATTTTCGTAAAAGCTATATTCGAAAAAAGGGAATATATAAATGAACAAAAAAAATAATGATTTTAAAAAAAACAATATTTTAAAGATGAGATTTTTAAGGCACAAAACCAATTACATCAAAAATATCCTATTCAGAGTCAAAACGAGAAAATGATATTCAAAAAGTTTCAGGACGAACATGAATGATCCAGAGCTTAAAAATTATGAGAATTTGTAAATTAAAAGTAAAAAAATGGAATATAAACTTGGGTAGATCTTCTAGATTCTCGGGCCCGTTTAGATCTAGCCTTTCTTTGAGCCTCGGAGGCAACCTCTCTCTGAGAAGAAACCTGGTCGGAAAGGACCGAAGATGCTGACGAAGCCAATGACGATTGCTGTAGACCTATGTTAGCTGAAGATGGTGTTCTCCTGGGGAGTGACGTATTTTTACAAAGTTAAAATGTCGAAATAATTTGGGGGGAAAAATGTAGGGCGAAAAAATATTTGGGTCCAGGAGAGGGGGGGGGGCTAAGGAAAGAATCTTTTTAAAAATTTCACGAGGAAAAGTTTTTTTTATCTTTATAAAACCTTATGACATATATAGACACTATACTAATTTATATATTACAGTATTCAATAAAAAAAATAAAGGCCAAAATATATATTTATAACTAAGGGAAAATATTTTATAGTGCAGTAAAAAAAATATCGGGTAAGCAATGGAAGACACTGGAAACGTATTGTCGTGTGGGTAAGATCATTACCGTTCGGATCTGGATATAATATCAGTGGATCTAGGAGGGAACGAATCATAATTTATTATGGTTATTTTTTAAAAATAATATTGAATCTCTTTTTTTAAAAAAAGAGCATATAGATCCAATTGACTTATACTTCAAAATATAACGTTTTCGACAGGGAAGGCTTCTTTAGATCGCAACAAAATGGCGATCCAAATATATGAAACAATGAAATGTAGAAGATAAAATTGACACTACTTTAGTTTTCATCTTAAAATATTTTTTATCATCTGCTACATTTCACCGCCTCGAATAATTGTTTCGCCATCTCGAAATAATTGGATAAAAAATTATCAAATGGGCCCTCTCACCAGATATGACCGATCTTTTAAAAGAAATTTATCAGAGCGAAAGGTCCTTGAGTAAGCACAAGTTCGAAAAGGACCAAAAGATATACCACCTTTCATTGACATGTCATGGCATAATAGATCGACACATAATTTAAAAAGATAAGCGTGTCAACGTTATATAAGTATCGTGAAGAATGCCTCTTTTTGTCAGAGTCCATCATTAAAAACAAAACAATTATACAAATTGGAACTCTAAATACAAAATCATTTCCACCTTTTGAGTGGTGACTGATAAAAAGCTATTTATTAGTTTTGATGTTTAAAAAAGGAAAGTTTTCTATATCAATTTCGGAATTTGCATGCTTAAATGATAAATATAATTATTTCATGTAGTAATACATTGAATAAATTGTGATCTGGTGTTATAAGAACTTACATTTTTAGTCAACTATAACTATATGAAAAATTATAAATTTGCAAAACATTCGGGTTAGATAAAGATCTAAATAATTCTAATTTCATTCCAATAGTCGCATCAACTAGCGGCTCTTTTTCACCTTTAACATTTAAGTTTTAAAAAAAAATCCAGACGGTAAATTTAAGACATTTCGCCGAGAAGAAGCGAAAGAATTTTTATATATTAGAAAAAAAATACAAATCAAATTTTTTTTTTAAATATTTATACCTCTTTTACAATTGTTAAATCCATAATTATCTTTTTCAATACAACTTTTTAATTTTATTTTAATGTTATTTTTTTTTATACATGCTATTTTTATATATATTTTAAATAAAAAGGAAAAAAATATTACAACATGCACAAGTCACTCACGTTAACTAAAAATATTAAGTCAAGCAAATTAAAAAAAAAAATAGAGTTTTTATTTTCTTTGTAAAAAGATTAATCGATAAATAAAACCTGTCGCCATGGGGCAAAGCATAAAACGGGAAATAGTAATGAGGATTGAGTTTGTTGATGATTTGATTCAATTGAACGCTATCTCCGTTATTCGATAATGTTCCACCGGAGTTAAGGTTGGAACCATTAAAGATGGTGGATTGTTGATTGGCATTACCATTGGTGTTACATGGGATAACGTTGACCATTTTATTGTTAAGTTGGTTGCCGACACTACCTAGAGGATTTGTGTGGCAATTTTGTTGATATTTCTTGAGCAAGGCAGTGAAATGGGAGACCGTGCTATTATTATTGGGGGAAGTGGGCGAGACGCAAGAAATTGTGAGGTATTGGGATTGAGAGTTTAGAGAATCATTTGGCTCGTTTGATCTATTAGAGTCCAAAGAATTAGGATTATGGGAAGGGTTTTTGGGATTGGCGATGTCGGGAAAATAAAAGGTTTTCGCGAGTAGTTTGGGGCTTACGCTGGAATTAAGATTGTTGAGATTATCAGTATTAATATTACCACCGATATTATTATCATTAATGGTAATGTCTTCTTTAACGAGGTTCAGAGAAGTAGGTCTGTTAAGGGGGCGGTGGCCAACGTCTAGGACATTCGTCCTAAATTGATCAGTAAGATGACCATTCAACGGTTTTTCTCCTTCTATTATTCCATTGTTAGAGTGTTTAAATCCGGAGAAGGGTAGTGTTTGGCGGGACGGAAACGAGAACTTAAATGCCTTTTCGGGGCTTGAAGGGCTAGAGCTCTCGTCACCGTTGTTGCATTGCGTCGAATTATTATTATTCGTGGTGAAGCCTTTATTCAATACTAGATTGCTACGCTTAAACGAATTTATAGTGCTTTCGCTTTGATTGGGACTGTTGTCATCGCCCACGAATCTGTACAAAGTCCTTTTGTTCGGGTTTTGATTGCCCATACTATCGGTTGGTTTATGGTCGTTAGAATTTTTAATGAAGGAATTAATGGGATTATTATAGAGAACAGGGGAGCAAGAAGTGTTAAGTGATTGAGTGGTATTAGTAGAATGATTTTGAGTCAGACTCGTTTTAGTTGGGTTACTGTTTTCGTTATTAATCATGCCACTATAAATATAGGGTGGGGGGGATTGGAATTTTTTGTTAGTGTTTTATCGGTAATATAATTGGCGGGAAAAAATATATGGTAGCATGCTTCTTTTAGTATATTATTAAATTAATAGTGAAAATAAATGTAATCAGGCCCGTTTAGATGCAAATTAAAATGTAAAAGATTTTAAAAAAGTGTTTATGCTACTTGTTAAAAATTTGTATTAAAATAATATTGATGAATTGAGATTGAATGACAAAGTATGTCCTTTCCTAAAAATGCGACTAATCGCATCAAAGCAAATGCTTTATAATTTCAATTACTTTTTGGGGGAAAATAAAATAGGATGTCGTGATAAGATTCCTCCAAACAATTTGCAAGAAGGTAACAAAATTAGCGAATAAGCAAGGAGTTAAAATGGACTCATAATATTTTAATTTAAAAAAAAAAGATTAATAAAATAAGAATGTAACTTAGGAATAATGGAAGGTTGGGAATACTTGGTGAGTAATCCGCCTAACATTGTGTTGTTGTGAGTAGACGAGCTACTACTACTAGACGAAGATATAGAAAGTCGGGTGTTCATAGGAGTAAATGTATGTTGTTGAGGTTTGACGGTGTTGGCCGGAGTCTGATTTTAACGAATAGTTATAAATTATTCGTGATATTTACCTGATTTTTTTTTAAAAAAATCATGGCCTCGTATTCCAGTTTGTATAAGTTTTAAAAAATAAATCAAAAGTTTTTATTTTTAAAAAGTAATTTTGGAGTATAATTTCGCACATATATACTATATATGTATATCAATAGAGGCTTATCAAATCTGAGTTTTAGCAAAATTTGTAGTGCGGAAAACCTCGATTTTAAATAAAGTTCAGAAGTACCTACCCTTTGAATTTCAGATAATTTTTCAGCGAACCTTTAAATTACTCTATATTTATATTCAATTTTTTCACTGAAATTGTCTAAAATTTAATAGGTACTTTCCTATACATATTAGAATTACGATTTTTAAAATAGCGCTCTATATAAATGATTTAAATTTTATGCATTCGCTAAAAAAAACCCGAGTCAATAAAACTTTGCCCTAAATTTGCTAAACCCCTACGACATATTTAAAAAACCAAAAAGTAAACTGCAAGAAGGGTTTCATTAGAAAAACCTTTAAAAATAAAACTATAAAATAAAAATGGTATAATTTAAGTCACTTGCCTGTAGAGGAGTTACAAATGAGCTTGGTTTTTGGTGCTGAGTTACAGGGCTTGTTCCTGTAAAGGTTACGGTTGATTTCTCTATAAATTATTTATTTAAAAAAAAACAATTAGTATATTTGGCTAGAAAAATATACTTCATGTCATTCATAACATGATAATAATTAAAATAAAAAGTATCGCCGATTATTCTTTCCTAAAGTAAACAAAAACAGAACAAATGCTTATTTCTATATTCCCGGAAATCATATAAATAACACGGATGCACATTTATTTGGTGATGGCTAATTCTAAAATTTTTTTTAAAAAACGACCTCAAGCAATACTAAACCCCGAAAAATATTACTTAGCGCGAATCCTTTAACAAATCCATGCCAAATAGTCACAGAAGTTACGAAACTGGATAAAGTGAAAAACTATTTAATGTGCCATCTGAGAGCTAACTTACAAAAGAAATTCCTTAAAAAAAATTAGCCACTTTCCATTTTTTTGGATAGATTGGACTCCAAAAATAGCTACCTGCTTGACCGTGTAAATCTCTTCCGGATATAATTATAAATTCTCGGCAGCCTTCTTTCTGAAAATTCCCACAAATTTCTCGTATGTTATTGTTTCTTTCTCTCTAGTAAACAATAAACAACTATTTAAATACTTCATATTGATATGGGAAGCGGATTTCGTATGTATTTTAACATTAAAAGGTTTATTTTCTAAATTTTCCTTATATTTTAAATATATTCGATTTTTTGTAATGACTGGACAATAGGATTTCATCCATTGTTTTTCCTTTATTATAATAGTGTAAAGTTAGATGAACATATTATCAACTTTTCCGCCACAACATATGACCCCAAATATTTGTATAAAGATGACCACTTTAAGTTGGTGACAGCACTTTTCGTAAATCTGCATTTAATAAATAGAATGTTCAAAACAGCCGTTTATTGCTTACTAGAGGAAAAAAAATGTCGACAGATCAAGAAATTTATAAATACTAAAAAAAAGGCCATCGATGGGCTTCAGGAGGCTCTTTAAATTTTTCAGGGTATTGCCCCCCCCACCAATTAAGCTACTGGGTACCCATAAATAAAATTTACCAACTTGATATGACGATTCTTTTGAGGCTGTTCTTAGTTGGCACATATTATTGCTAGCCTTATAAAGCTTCGCCATTTCCTTGGCAACTATCTGGCAAGGATTTTTCTAAAGAATATGTGACTCGCTTTTTCATATCTTAATATGTTTAGCGTTACTTTGAATAAGGGGTCTGCAAACCTCAACGCAACGACTCGATTCGTAGCTTGGGGTGGGAAAAGTGTGGATATTTTTTATTTTTAAGTAGGGAGGGACCGTAGTAAAATTCGAATAGTTCGGGTTGGGTTTGAAACTATCTTTTTTTCAGGTAGGGTTGGAAATATGAAATTAATCTTATTTTCGGGCTGAGTACGGAAAATGAGTTTCCTCCTAACCCTACATTCATAATTAGCGCGAACTATATATAAAACGCTATATTTTTGTATTCACCGCCGCGATTTCACTCTAACTGTAAGAAATTACCCTGCATTCACAGTTACCACTCTTATATACTTAGCCGCTAATTCGCGTTAACTGAGAATGCAGGGTAAGGCTGCATATATACTTTGGGGGACGGCATTGGTATGCATCGCGAAAAATACAAGATGGAATATTTAAACCAAAGCATATATATTAAGCTTTCACATTCGATCTGATTCTAAATTTATACCGACATACTTTGTTTTTATATGTTAACGCGTGCTAGATTTTAATAATTTTTATTTTCAAAGTGTCCCATTATAAACGCAAAATGATGTAAATAATACCCTTAGTATTTCCCACTCCAATCCTACTATCCGCTAATTTTACTGCATTGTTCAGCTTATTTTCTCCCTTTTTGAGGTGGTCGTCGGAATGGTGGGACGAGGACGTAGAGCTGGTGTTGGAAGTAGAGGCCTCACTAGAATCCTCAGATTCTGAGCCTGAATCCGATGTTTCTTTATTGGCGATAGGTTTGCCGATTTCTTTTTTGTTGATGGTGGTGAGCATTTTAGGCTTCGTAACTTTTGTTAAGATAAGGATTGATTATAAAATTGTTTAAAACAATTTGTTACAATATAGAAACAAGGCAAATTATAAAAATATGACAAATAGATTAACAAGGATAAAGAAAAATACTAATAAATCATGCTCATATTTCTATAAGCTATGATTCAAAGTTCATCGACTTTAGGTGAAATTTCTTAGATTTACAGTACCCAATATTTAAAGGTTATTTCAGCCCTTGACCTATAAGGATATAAAAAGGGGTGAAAATAGTATCTACAACAAAAAACAGCATTTAGAATTTAATTACCCAAAATAATAATTTTAAAAAATTTCCAGCATTTGGAGGTATGAATTAAAATTTGGTACTTGTAATTTTTTCTTCCGTGGCGTGTACAGTGGGTTGTGGTGTAGTTTTAGCAGTTATGCTGTATTTAACCTTCGCCACTTCGGGTTTTTCTACGTCTTTTGCCGCGATATTTGCTGTCCATTTTTGTTTATAATAATGATATAATTTTTTTTATCTATTAAGTTGATAGTAAAATCTAGGGCCCTTTAGGCATATAACTCAGTCGAGCCCAATGACATAATAACTACTTAGATCGATGATTCATTCATTTAAAATGTGTATCAATAAATATTTATAAAAATTATTATATGGGAAAAACAAAATGGCAAGTTACCAGCTGATTTGTAAAAAAGCGATGTTTGTTTAACATGTATAATGTATGAATCGTCCGTCTCGATAAGTATTATATGTTATGCTAGAGTCACTTATGCAGACCGAGCCTAACCTCAGCAAAGATTTTAATAATTTTATATCTTCCTAATATTTTATAAATAATCCCTTCATTTTTTTTTATAAAAATAAACAAAATCTCTTATTTTTCTCTAGTGCTCATAAAAACTTTTTTCTTCAAAATTAAATAAAAATTTGCTATGTTTTTTTGAAAAAAGGGAAAAAAACAAACATTGTTTTTTGAATGTTTTCTATTATTAACACAATTGTTGCAAATTTTTCATTATTTACAATCATTTTTTAATTTTTCAAATTAGTTAGATTGTGTTACTTAAAAAAGCTAACTTAGTTTTTAAAATGATTAAAAATAACAGGCACAGTCCTCCGGGAATTCAGCCTTTGCCCGACTCTGCCAAATTTTTACCCGGCCTTGCTTCAATTTTATTTTACTAAAGTTGAGGTTGCCTCAGCCTGTTATTTTTAAATACAAGTAACCCGAAATATATAAAAATAAACAACTATTTATAATAATTGGGATGTGTTACACTTTATGGATTATCACTTCTATCAAATATCAGAATTTATCAATAATCCGGCCAAATAATATTTTTGCTCGGCCAGGCCCAATTTTTTAGGTGACCCGGCCCGGCAAGATGGGCAGAGTATTGCAGACCTCTAGTCCCTATAATTAGTTATCAATTAATATTACCCTATATCTTATGCCATAATAATCAAATTAATGAATTGTGCAATTGGTATCCATACATATATGCAATAGATACTGCTTTTCGGCATATTTTTGTTCCCATCCATTTTCAAAAAATGGATCTCTGCAAACTTAAGCATATTCACGTGTCATTAATAGAAACGGCATTGAAAATCTTGAAAAATGTTCTTCAAATCTTTTTTCAATAGAATGATGTCCTTTGCGTTTGGTTTCATTAATCATGAAATAATTCATCAATAACAGAGTTCGATAAAAAAAAATACTCTGATAAATAAAGTTTATATTTTTAAAAATTATTTTCATTTTAAAGTTGAAGGAAAATGATACTAAAGTCAAAAAATTATCATGTTTATATTAAGAAAATATGCGATGATACAATTTGAATAATTGATAAATTAATTTGATAAACAAAAAAGTATTAGAAATGAGTGATATAATCGCAAAGTTAATGTCACAGCATTATTGACATATATAAGTGCCAGCAGGGTGTTCTTTTCGCTGTAGTTTAAATAAACGCATAAGAAAAATGGAAAAATTCTTTAAAGATTTCAATTCGAGAATAAATGAGAAATCATTGTTTATCAAACGAGGTTGTATGTTTATTTTTCTTCAAAATTTTGTGTTTTTATATTGAATTAAAAGAATTTGCAGAAAGTGTTGAAGGAAGATCTGAAGAGTTCAATTTCAAGGTTAGCAATGTCATTTCTAATAAAGACAGGTGGTGAATACGAAGATATTTGTGAGAATATATCTTTTCGAAAATAGATGCAGTGCAACCAAGCGATTACGAAGTATTGCCCCTTATTACTCTTTCCCACCCCATCAATAGACACGAAAGTTATAGATATGATAGTAGATGTCGTGCATATATTCCATACACTTTATAATAAATATAAATCGGGCAATAAATAATTTTCTATTTTTAAAACAAAAAAAAACTTTGGCTTAATTTCTTGACGCCCGCCGCTATTTTTCCAGACTCGATTGATGACGATGAGGTAGTTAAGGATGACGAAGATGCTGACGAGGAAGAAGCTGTTTCCTCTTCGTGAGGTACTAGATCGGTTAGATATTTATTTGAAATATATGATGTTTTATTTTTAAGAATAATAAATAATGGTTTACTTATCTGCATAATTTTGTTTTATAATATTTTTATTTTTTCTAGACCGTTGGGCAGGTGTCAAGAGAATTCTTAATATAAAAGCAATCCAACTAAGACGATAAGGCCAATTAAAATTACTTTTTTTTAAAAAAAATGACTAGACTTAGACCCTCCTTGCGAGAATTGGGGGGAAATATTGTTTGTAGACATTTAATATTGAAGATATAAATAATTTTGATGTAAGGTTGAAATTTCAGAACGATCGATGGTAAAATTCCTCAATAAATTTATAGAATATTTAATTACACTAACCTTCCGCTTTAAATTTCTTATTGTTGGCTCCGCCCGATAGATTTATGTTACGTTCGCTAGCGTGATCTTCGGTATTCAATCGAAGTTTTTCGACTCCGCTCATCCGAGACACGGTTGTGGAATGAGTTTCGCTCTCGGCACCGAGGGGTTGCGCTTGTTTGCTTTAGGTAGGGAGATAGGAAGAGTTTAAATAATATAGTTTAAAAAATGAATGAGGAAGGAGTAAGAATGGAGGATTCTTTTTACAAATATTCATTTTTTTGTAATGAAAATGAAACCTTTTAATGGGAATATTGTGAGTAATATTGACGGTCGTTTTCGTGGGTGCTAAAATTGTTGTCATTTTTTCTTTGCATAGTTTGTTTTCATTCTGTTAAGGAAGAAAAAAATTATTATATTTTTTTAGCGTAATCTAAAGTCGCTTAAGAGGAAAGGGAGCTCCAAATTTTAAATAAAACCGATTTCTTTCTTTTTTTTCAACGGTTACTTGAAAATGAACCATTTCTTCGTTCAAAAAAGGGAAAAACATTTCATAAATGTGATCAAAATTGTGGTCCGGTCAAATCAAAAAGTGATTTTTCAAGTTTCTTAAGTCCAAACCGTCCCATCCGAAATCTTCTTAAGTCGAGTCTTTGAGGATCATAATGATCCGGGAAAACCTAAAATCATACAGAGTAAGGCTTCAGCTAGATTCCATTCGCTTTCTAAACTCAAGTATAGCCAACCACTTTTTCTGAAAATATTTTCGAATTGTGGAAAAGAGAATAAATTGATGTTTTTAAAAAATATATATTAAGTGTAGCTTAATGCGAACTAAGAAGTTAGAAGCGTCATTGTGGAGGATGGGGGCTATTGAGGGCGCGAACCGCGAGAAGATTTTTTTTTTAAAAAAATACAAATCTTGAAGCAAAAACTAAAAAGATAAATAATTGGTTCACCCAGTGAGCTCCGGCAAACTGACAATTCTAGCGATACCTTTGAGCGAAATAAACACAATATGGAAGACTGCTCATTATTAAAAAACAAAATGTTTTGAAATTTGAAATAAAAGTTCTAGGAACATAATAAGCGATTTTTTTTAAAAAAAAAATCCGGGTTTTCTTTAAAAATTCGAACCCACGGATACTATAGAATAGATTGTCCGGCTTATAATTTCTTAAACTACCGAAAAATAAGCAGTGATTTAAATTAATCTTAATTTTAGAACCATTAATTTTTTTTTTTTAAAAAAAGAAAATTTGCTGTTTCGCTAGTAAAATCCTTTTTTCCGTCTATTTCATTTCATTTCATCTTTTACCTTTTTCTCACATTCAGATTTATTTGCATTTTATTTTTTTTAAAAAAAACTTTGTTCTAAATTGTTATCAAATTATTTAATACTTTGATATCGTCCATGTAACGAGCCATAGCGTTGTCACCGACTTCAGCAGGTATTAAGGACTTTGGTTTAAAAAAAATAATTTATTATTATTTATCTTCTAAATAAATAGATATCAAAATTTCTAAAAAAGTTTATATTATCATTTCTTGTATGTTATAATAAATGGACAATTTGATTTCCATATTATCTAGCTCTATCATTATCGTTTTCATATTTTTCGTATCCTTTCACAACCAAAGATGAAAATTTGATCGTAATCCAACTTAAAAAAAATATGCTAATAAAAATGCAAATTTCTATTTGATTTTCAACGATACATTTCTTTATTCCACCTTTCCTTTCTTTCTAACTCCACTAACGAGTAGTATAAAATTTACAGAATTATCTTTGAGCCCGGGATCTGCCCCGTGGTTTAACAACGTTCTAACAGCCTCCTTTTGATTCCAATGACAGGCCGCATGAAGAGGAGTCCATCCGTCGTAATCGCGAGCGTCTATATTGACGCCGGCTTCCAAGAGCAATCTTGATTTATTATTTATATTCATATATTTTTAAGAAAATTTAAAAATAATAATAACTCTATTTGATTTAATGAGTGATTCCCTTTTAGCGAGATTTTGTTTTAAAAAACCTTTCACTTAAATTACGTCTAGCTTTCTTCGGCAGTGAAGTTACAAATGAAAAATCCCCCCCCCTCATAATAAATTTATATAGCTTCTCATTATCAATGAAAAGGCCAGCCGACAATGTAGGGTTTGATTTTAAGATCGCAAGGTTTCGTATATGTTCTTGTGAATTAACTCAATAACAACAGAACCTCGTATAATTTTAGTTTCTAACAATGTCCATATATTTTCAAATTCGTAAGGCTCATTACTCCTTGCTCTCTTATAGCAAATACAAAAATACATATCATGATTTTTAGTGGGTTTACTCGATAACGCTGGTATAGCCCTTGGCGGAAGCCACGTGAAGTGCAGTGGCCCCGGTCTTGGGGTGAGGGCGGTCTCTTATAACGTTGGTCCTGATCCAAAGTTTAGCGTCTCGAGTCATTTTGTTAATCTCCTCGTTACGGGCTTCGTTCATCACTATGCCTGCGGGTTTTTGTAATTATTTAAAAAGATCAGAAGAAAAAAAAAATTTGATATAAATTTTGTAAATGTAAAACGGTACTTAGAAAAAGTATAGATGAAAAAGAAATTTTTTAGGCCAGGCCTGGTCAGGGTATTTTTTTAAAAAATATCAGGCCAGGCCTGGCCAGGTTATTTAAAAAAAATATCAGGCCCGCCCTGGCCCGGGTATATTTAAAAATATTAAAATATGGCCCGGCTCGGGTACCCGAGTCGAGCCGACTCTGAGTCAAATTGAGCCCGGTGGTGTCCCTCGTTCAAATCGGTATCCTTATTCATAGGTTTATCTCGTTTAAACCTCTTTCAAATTATCTCAAATAGTTTAGGAATTATGAGTTAAAGAAAAAAGGTCTATAATTTATAACAATACAATTCAAATTAATTAGCATTTCAAAATAATCCTCCTTTATATTAAAGCTGAATTCTATTAAACTTTGATATTTATTAATAATTGGTTTCTCCGATTATATTTCGCGCAATTTCGTTAGCATAATATATAAAATTAAGAGAACTTTCAAAATAAATAAAAATGTTATTTTGAATGCCAACAGTGAAATTTTTAATTTTGAACTAGCCCAAAACATTTTTGATATTTTAAAAGGTATCCCTATGGATTGATATTCCTCCCAGAATTAATACAAATTTTTAAAGCAAATACAATGTAAAATCTTTTTTCGATAAATTGGTCAACAATAGGGAATTATAAAGAGACATTTTTTTTTGTTCGAAATTCATAAATATATTAAATTAAGGGAACTTTAAAAAAGAAAAAAAAGAACTTAAATTTCGAACAAGTTAACTTCACGTAGCGATTATCGAGGTGTATCGAATTATATTATTATAAATTATAATTCATTGTCCTTTAATATATATACAAAAGATAAGGTGTGGTCCGGCCATTAATTGATTATCATTATACTTATATTTTAATACATACATAATAATCGTAGTTGTATAAGATTAAAGAACTTTAAGCCGCGATTATTTAGAAAACGAAATTTCATTTTTAATTAGATTTATAATTGTTGATCGTCCTCATATTATCTACTTTACCACGTATTCACTTTCATTATACATAAGTAAAGTAATCATTAACTCCTCTCGCTTTTTAGTATATCAATTTTTTCTCTATTTTATCCGCATCATTTTATGAAGGAATATTTGCGGAGGTTTGTTCCTCTTTATTCCCCTCTTTCTTTCATTTTTAACTGTTCTTTCTTTTCTTAGGGCGATGCTCTGTAGCGAGTAATTAAAATTGCGTTATATTGGTGGTACAAATAAAAATTTAATCATCTTTAAATGTTTTTTTTAAAACTTTTAAAAATAAAATCGGTGTAATCATTAATACTAGTAGAGTTGGGTAATTACTATATTTTTTTAGGTGTTTAAGCCAATAGCCGACTAAAAAAATTGGCAATTATCACTTTGATCTCGGGGCTTTTCTTGAAAATATAGCGGCTCAAATTTTACCCGCCAAGCCGGCATTTAGACATTACACAACTACACTTACCTTACCAGGGTTAATTCATATGTTTATTTCCTCTTCCTTTATTCTTGAACCAAAAAAAAAATATTCAAAAAATATTAGAAAAAATGTCAACATCAATCAAATAAAACCTTTCCTGTCGATTTCGGATTGTAAAAATTTTTCGATTTCGAGGGATTCAGTTATATCGATAGGTAACTCCCCGTCGCTATTAACAGCTGCGATATTGGCCCCGCATTTTACCAAATATCTTATAATACCATTTTAAGAATAAATATGTAACATTTTATCTATGATAATTTACAAGTTAAAATAACTATATAAGGTTATGTAATTAAAATAAGCATTTGATTGGTCTATTTTTTGTAACTTGGGGAGTGAGGGAGGGGACTCCGCGTCAAATATCGAATTCTTTCAGGCAAACGAAAAGTTATCTGGAAAAAATTTTCTGTTTAGAACCTGAGACCCTGGGAAATGGAGGGAAGGGGGGGGGGGATAAAATCTAACGTCTTTCTACAGGACCAATCCAGCAAAGTCGCTCCCTGATAGTTTAATAGGTTTCGATTTTTTTAGAAAAAACGCTTTCAAATGTGTTTAAATTTACAACACCCTCATGTTTAAAGAGTTAAATTTTATCACTTTTCCAAGCTTTTTAGACTTTTAATTTTTTGATCAACAAAAATAATAAATTATATAGTTTTCCGGCTTTATTAGCACTATAAAAATTTTGGTTCTTTAACTGAATGCGTAAATAGTTCCTACATTTTATTTAAAGTAGGAGTTGGAGGTTTTCTTCCTTTAATATTATAGCAAAATAAATTGGTATAATATATTTTATCTGCCAAAATTAAGATTGGTTAGATTTTTTTTCTTTAAATTTTTTACAACACAAGGTTAATTTTTCGATATTTTTATTTTTAAGGATGAGATCTCTAAACATCCAAAATCGAAATACCGATTTTGAATTTTGGTCAGAAAAGTTATGGTTTTTTTTAAATTATTATTAAGGGAAAAGATAGTCACTAAAAAAAATTTAATATTTATCCATAACCTCGGCAGATAAAGTATCATATTACCGAAACAATTACCCTTATGGAATAGAAGTGATTTATTATCGAATTCAAAAAGGGAAAATATAAGATTGGTACTTCGAGACGTTAGGGAATATAGCAAAAAGGGAAAGTACTAAAACAAAAAAAACGTATCATTCTTTCTTTTTTAATTCAATTCAGAAAATTGTCAATAAATAAAAAAAAATTTATTATTGCCGAACCCTCAAAAATGTTGGGTGGGTTCGAAGATCTGTCAGATTCTAAAGCATTGGGTTCTGTTCGAAACCCTGTCCAATTATTGAGCATTTGCCATGTTTTATTTTAAGCGATGAATTGTTCCCTTTTTAAAACAAAGGAAATAAGTCACCAGCATTTTAGTAAAACTACGCCGAAAACTTCCGAAAAGGTGACCATCTTCTCATCTTGACCATTTTAGCTTAGATATAGGCCGAATTTTCGATTAATAAATGATCCTATCAAAATTATGCTTTTTTAAATATTAACCAAAATTTTCCCCTTATTTCTTTAATATAAAAAAAATATTTGGCAAAAATTTATCGCATGAATTAATCATTTTCAGTAGGGAATAAGTTCCGTTTAAAAATTTTAATAAATCTTTCATTTTTCCTTCGTAAAAAAAAAAAAAATTGTCATCGCGATTGCGATTTTATTTATCAATTTTATATATACATTTTCTGCCAATAAGAAGAAATACAGCATTATAAATGATCACGTGGTCCCGTTGCGGTTATTTACAAATTAAATAAATTTTTCTTTGGCCCCCCTCAGCCACATTTTAAGGGAGTCCGTTAGTATTGGACAAAAGTTTTTCTGCCCGATTTTTAAGGTCAGTGAGGGTCATCTTCTCCCTCTTAGAATAGGCATATTTATCATATTAAATCAAATGATGAGGTCAGAACATTAGAAAGTTTTCTTACAATTTAAAAATCACTGGAGTCCTTCAATTATTATAACGCATTTTAGAAAGCCTATCTATCCTATTACACTCTCTATAAGTACGTTAAATTTTAAATAATTTTCGCACGAACGACCAGCCTAATTTTCATTTTAATTGCGTTTAAAATCCTTGATTTTAAGAAAAAGAAAAAAAAATTCTTTACGAGAGCGTGTAATTATTTGTTATAATCTATCCAAATAAAAAAAAATTTTTTATTAATTTTTTTTTCGGAAAACGAGATTATGACACTTTTTTATATTGATTTTCCTTTTAAAAATATTGGCTGCCGGTTAAGGGAAATCATATTAGAGACAAAGACGCCTGGAAATAATTTCGAGGGAAAAATCTTGGCTTAAATTGTTAGACCATGATTCGCAACTTTCTGTATAATAATTTATTCAAATATTACCATTTATTACGATTGAGAGAATCGTTATTAAATGCCATTGCATATTGGATACAAATAATGTGATACATTCTGCAATCACGTTAAGGAAAACATGTAAGGTCAAGGACTTCTACCATGAGAGAAGGGAGTATGACGCAAGACGGTTATAGATATTGAAGGGGGTGAGGTAGTTTTTATTTCTTTCATTTTGATTTGGTTGGGATAGGGGGTAAATCATTATTGGTTGAGGGGGGGGGGGGGTAGAAGTCCCTAAGTAAAGTAATAACTTGTAGCTATTTAATAGATGGGTGCAGGTGGTCATCCAGGTAGCCAGGAATATTCAGATAAGGGTTGGGTGGAGAGGGTGGGGACAAAGTATATTTGGGAGCTTTAAGCCATTAGAAACAAATTAGGCCAGAGGTCTAAAAATGGGGGTGCGGGTGGACAGGCTCTGGCTACAGGGCTGTGAATGCATGCAATATATACGTATAAATATTATATATGTGAACTCACTGTACTATTTCCAAAAAGCCACACGAAGATGCAGCGTGCAGTGGTGTCCAGCCCTCATTGTCACCTTGGTTAATGTTTGCGCCATGTTTGATTAGGAATTCTACCATAAGTATATTATCATCTATGCAAGCCTAAAAATTTACAAAAACACAATGTTTATTTTATTTCTTTCTTCGTAAAATTATCCTAATATTATATCGTTAGCGCATCTATGTCAAATCACGCACATCTCCCTCGTTAAACCGGTATTAACCATTATTTACCGGGCCTAAACTGAAACAGTTAAAAAAAATTGTCACCCGAACCTAAGCCTCTAAAAAAGCCTGTGAACCTTCTTGATATTTTAACTCTTTTAAGGACAATCTATAATCATATTTTTAGATATTTTTGTGTATTGCTGCTATTTGACGGTGCCAGATGCCCAATTAGATATATAGAAGTGACAACAATCATAAAATTTGGTCTGCTACTCATAGATATAATTTGACATTTGACAGAAGAGGATGTGCTGTTAAAATAACAGCTACAAAACCGGCAACTAGTTACCATTTGTAAAAAAAAGTAACTCTCGCCAGTTAATTTTGAAAAATACCGGTAAATTTTTGAATAGAACAACATAAGTATTTAGTAATTAAGGGGAATTTGTTGATGTCAAAGGTTTGACATTTTTCTAATGTCATAGGGCTAAATGTTATGAATGTGATTAGTTAATTGGGGTTGAACTATTAACAATACTATGATTTTAAAAATAATGTTTATGAAAACGTTGGATAAATAAAGTGTTTTAAATAAGAATGATTATTCCAATTTTCTCAAAAAATATAAGAAAAGAATGTACAAAATTAGACATTGAATTGTGCTTATCGTCCCATATCTTTGATTTTTTTTATGTTTATACGTTTTGACATATTGCCGAGAGGGGGAAAAAGGAAAGAACTAAAAAACGTAATTTTTTTTAACAAAAATGTAAGTTTCTATAATATAGCTTAAGAAAAAGATTTTGTAGAAATTCTTAAACATTTTTTAAAAAAAATTACAATCGCTATATAGTATATTATGCATGTCCTAACAAACCATGTAATGGAAGATTATTCTCTTCTAATATTATTTTTTTTGTAATAAAGATTGCATTTACATTGCAACTATAGGAGTTAAAGTAATCATTAAATATCACATTAATTTATCTTTTTTACAAAATATTACAGGCATGTATTATCTACATTTATTAATATGTTACAAGCTATCACACAAGATGATGTAGTCACTTAAGAAAGTCATAGCCAAGAGTCTTCCAGCTACAGGTAGTATAAATGATGCACAATACATATTTACATTTATTATTTTACAAGTCTATCATATAAGATAATGTAGTCACGAAAGTTCTAGCCAAAACAATTATTTCCCAGCTCCAGGTAGAACACATATCATACGCAATACATATTTTTATTTATTAGTTTATAACTATCATTTAAGATGTTTAGTTTCTAAGAAAGTACTATTAATAAACAATTATCTTCCAATTCTTTATAAAATACATGAAACATTTTATTTTCATTTCGTCATTTATTTTAGAAGGCTATCATTCAAGAAGATGTATAATCACAATTCAATGAAAGATATATTAATGCATACAATGATGCTATTGAAATTATTTTTATATTATAAATTATACCCAAATCAATGTATTTACAAAATTTGGCATAAGTTATTATTTTTTTGTGAAATAAATTTAGTGGTGATTTAATAAAAATATATATACATCCTTATGCCTCAAAATCAGCCTTTTACTGTCCTGAAAATGAAAATTATCTATTAACTGAACCTTCACTTTTTGCTCTCTTATATATCATTCCTAACAGCCAAGATTTCAGTCAGAGTGTAAATTTTAGTTAAACGTAATAGAGGCCATATTGAATGTTTTGGCTTATTTGTCTCTTTATTTTTTTTTAGTCGAAAGAGTAAACACAGCGAGAATCGTGGCCAAATTGTGCCATCTGACTGCCCGTCTAGAAATATTATTTTTGCAAAACCCGGTCGGCCCCCAGGATTGATTTTTTAAAATTACATTAGAAAGTCAGCGTTACTAACCCGGATGCGTACGATCGAATACGAACGCCTAGTGGGTTATTTTTGGTAAGCAGAACTGGCGAAGTGGGATGAACCAAACGCTGGGTTAAGGCGCCCGATATGACGCTCACAAAAAATACTAAAGGTGTTTATTAATTATAAACAACAGGATGGTGGCCATGAAAGCCGGAATCCGTTAAGGAGTGTGCAACAACTCACCCGCTGAATCAACTAGCCCTGAAAATGCTGTACATGTCATATACTCGAGTGTTTGAAAATTTATTTACTGTTCGTAATTTCAAATTCCCTTTTTGAAATATTTACAACACACTACACAAGATTATTCAAAATAAAGATAATTTTTAAAATTCCGGGGCCAGCGCCGTAAAATGATTAAAAAATAAAAATGTCGGGCCGGATTTGATAATTCAAAAAATATCCGAACCAGGTTTGTTATATCTGGACGGAGTTAAATTTAAAGCAAAAAAAATATAAATTAATTTCGTAAATATTTGTGAAATAGATATGCTATTTGGGAGAAAAATAAAATTTTGCACATTTGTTGACTTTTTTTTTCTTCTTCTATTATTTTATTTTTCATTTTTTTTTAAAGTTTTTCTTTATCAGAATTATTCTTTTCTTATTGGAAAAATGAATTTTCTTCAATAAAATAATTGATTAAAAATATTTTTTGATAATTTATTAAAAATATTTTTTGATAATTTATTATAACAAATTTTTTAAAAAACAACAATAAAAAATAAATTTTTTTTTAACAATGCCGCGGTTAATTAATAATATTAATTTAAATTATAAAAATTCAATTTATGTTAGGATAATGAATATGATAATTGTCTTGTCTCTCTTTTCGTTCGGTTAAATTTAGTTTTTTTATTAGTATAATAAAAGATTGTAAATTAGATTGATGTTAATTAGATAATGAATAAAATTTGATAAGTTATCTTTTATTCCCTATAAAATGATATATTTTATTTTAAAATAAAAGTTTACTCGGTATAATAAATATATAATGATAGTAAATTCGATTATTATTTATTTTCTCTTCCCTTTATTACTGATTTTTTAAGATAATTTTTGTTAAAAAAAATTTATTGTAAAAACTTGTAAACGATCGAAAGGAAAACTATAGTCTAAAAAAAATTTTCTTTGCCAAGTTTTTGTTTTTTTACAGAAAAATTGTTTTCTAAATGGTGTGCCTTTTCTATTCATTGAATTATTTTTTTTGTGTTTCTGCACAATCAAGAAACCAGTTGTGTGTTTCTATTTAAAAAAAATTTATATTTGTAATCAATGTAAAAGAGGGAAAATTATTAAATTTTATCTTGAGTTTTTTTCTTTAATGTTGAGTTAAATTAAGGGCCCATATGAGAGGTAAAAAGTGACATATTTCTAGAGACCAGAGATTCCAAAAAAATTTTTCCTAAAGCAAATTGGAAAGGGAGCCAAAATGATATTAAAAAAACGAATATTTAATTTTAAAGGAACAGGAATTACAGAACGAAAATGTTTTTGCTTCGGATCCCTGGTTAAAAATGTTCTATATTTATGGGATCTTGCAGCTCAATCATGTTCTGTTTTTGTTATAAAATCATTTAATTATCTCTCTCTTATATATAAGTAACGTTCGGGAAGGAACAAATAATGCCGGCGACCTTTTATCATTATAATTAACTTTTCGAGAAACAAAATCGATTTACAAAGATTGTACCTTCTTGGTAATTATAATATCGAATGTTATCCAAATTAAATAATTACATAGATATAATGCATTATAAAGATCTGGTCATTGGCCAGTCAACTCGTGCAAAATATGGGGTGATGGCTGAAAATTTGCATAAAAATATTCATGGGCAGCGAACCTGGCTATTCTCCGCTAAAATATTTAATAGGTCTTTTAAGATTTATTTAGCCGAGCGGCAAGATTTATAATCCGCGCCTTTCGATTTAAAAGGAGAAACCTTGAACAGGAGCCTAATGATCTCCAAGTTTTTCTAATGATTTAAATTATCAATTTTTAAAATAAACGATATAATTAGGGGTGTAACAATTTTGTAATGTCGGATCGGAGGGTATTTTTTTTAAGAATATGGGTTTACTACATTGCCAGATCCAACATATAAAAAATGGCGACAATGAAAAAAATAAATATTGGAGCGGCCATGGATGTAAGATTACTTGGGTATTCATTCCGATTTATAGATACGTCACATGGCAAAAAAAATTAATCAATCGGATTCGGGAGTAATGTAAACATCGTCAACTATTTCCTATTTCCGCTTTTAATGGAAATATTTTAATGGAGGGAAAGGAGGAGGTCAATAAACTTTTTTCGCGAAAACATGAAATTAGGAGAAAACGATTTGTTTATTATTTGAATTAATAAAAGCAAGAAAAAATAGGATTAAAATTTATACCCCAGAGTTACATTTTAAAGGTGTAAAAAAAAATTTATTATCGATAATTTTATAGGTGGTTGATTTTTTCCCCAGTTTGAATTCCTAGCCCTAAAGATCTACATGTCAAAATATTATATTTTAAACTATTTTGATTGACGTCTACCATCTGAGAATCTGATCAATTTTTAGAGCCTAAAAAAATTATTATCTCCCTTGCCCTTCTTTTAATTGGTTAAAAACCGCTATTTTCAATTTAAACCTATACCAGTGTCCAATACCCAAAAATGGCAATGTTAAAATTTTTTTTGTTCCAAATCAGTATCATATTTTTTTGATAACAAAATTTGAAATCTTTCCTAAATTTAAACAAGGGATGAGCAAAACGCGAACGTTTCAATTAGTGCGCTACTAAAACACAAATTCCTAATTTTATTTTTTTCGTACCTTTTTAATTTCAATTTTTTTGTAAAAATATATATTTCATAAATCATTATTTAAAATTAGACAAATAAATATATTTTTTTAAAAAAATAATGATAATATTGATAGATCTCCAGGTGTAGGTGTTGTTAAAGAGCTCGTTTTGAGTCGATTTTTAAAAACGGCTAACTCAATATTCACCCAGAAAAATATTCCGGAAACCAGAA